AAAACAAACAAACAAACAAGTATATAATTTACCCCTAATATAACCATTTTTTGTGTGTAAATATATTGATAATTAAGATATTAATTAATTAATAAAATGGATAGATACTTTTCAGCTATATCTATCACCATTTTCAAACGGATCCTGGACTTTGTGCATCCCACACTGGTCACTCAATAAAAATAAAGATGAAATATAGTTTACAAGAAATGTTTTATATTGCAAATTTTAAAATCTAGATGGAAAGAGTCTGCTTCTTAGATTTTGGCAAATCAAAAGTCAGAACTTTATGCCTATTGAAAAATCCGAATGCCAAAAAGTAAATTAGTAGTGAACAAACCGATTTTCTTTGCATGTGTGGCTTGTGGGTTAAGATAAAGTACAATGACCCAACACTCCTAGTAGGAGGCTAAACTCCTGTCTGGTTTCTTCAAGTCAGCTCCGGCTGAACAAGGCTGAAAAACAGGAGCTAAATGAGAGACTATAAAGTGAGAATGGATAAATATCTTAGAAGAAGGGGGTATCTGAGAAAGATGGATACGTAAATCTGTTATATTTATATCTGTTATCTGCCTCTATTCACAAGTGTAGCATTGAAGTTAACTTAAGTTCAACAAGTTTGATATTAAAAGGAGAAGTGAATTGTTTGGCCTATGAAGTTCTTTTTTTATTAACGTAAAGATATATACATAATGGGCTATATGTACTCTGTCCACCGTGGGGAGTCGTATTCTAGATCTTAGCGTTGTATTTTGTTTGTTAAAGTGGGTGATCTGTGCTGTACTCACCGTGGTTATCGTAACTCAGTTTTTATCGTTATAAGTCCTCAGACTTACCACCGAGGAGGGGAGCTTTAGCGTTACAAGTTTATAAATTTACCAGGGTCCCCTGGTTACGTTAGTCAATTATCATTAACTGTTTACAACCACTTGTGAGGAGTTAGTTTTATAATAAAACAGGAAAATACAATTAAATTATATTTCTCTGTTAAACACAAAAGCTACACAACGGACTACTTGCGTTGTGTTTGACGCGTGGATCTCACTTGGAATTCTAGCGTTACAAGTCCTCAAGCTTACCGACCGATAATCCACTACGAGACAAGACAGAAATGAAAAATAAATAAACACTTCAAGATATTTTTATGTTCTTTACAAATATCTAAGATCAAATTAACATACTAATATAGTGATGGAACCTTGTGGGAAGAAATAGCTCACAAATTATCTTCAACAAATTGTGTTTTTTTTTCTTTCAATATGTAAGTAATTAAAATACAATTTTTTTGTTAAGACTTAATAACTTATTAGCTATGTAAACAAAACTACTTAGAAATTTATCTGTTTGGTGTAGCTAGAACTGAACATTCGTTTTGGTTTGATTTGTTTTGAATTTTGCGCAAAGCTATATGAGAGCTATCTGCGCTTACCGTCCCCAATTTAACAGCGTAACACTAGAGGGCTGGTAGCTATTCCTCACAACCCACCGCCAACTTTTGGGCTACTCTTTTTTCAACGAATAGTGGGATTGACCGTCACATTATAA